GGTTTCATTCTCAAAATAATTAAATTTTTCTCGTTTGCGTGTGTATAAACAGCTTAGACAAACGGCACCCGTCACTACTTATTTAATGTTACTCATTGCACAAGACAAATTTCTCTCAGTACCTTAATTTTTATCAATTTATCACCATCATTATAGTCCACTGTTGCTGAACATAGCACAAGCTTCCCATAAATTGCCTCATAGGGTATTGCACCAGAGTTGTCACGGTCGGGTATGGCTTGGTACCGCAGTTTTTATAATTTTGGGTTGTTGTCAGTACGATGCCGTTGCCCATCTTCTGTTTCAATTTCACTCTCTTGCCTCTTACAACATTCGCGGGACGATATGGGGTAGTGAATATTCGTACACCACCACTACACTGTTTTATTTTATATAAACTTAAAATACACTTAAGTTTAACGTTCTGTACGCTAGTTTTATAAAAAATGTCGGTTTCAATTAATTGCTACGTGAGAGTAAACTTCAACGACTAATTCGCTTTCTAGGCCAGTGCAGTCAGATTCAATGCGGTATGTCTGAGATAAACCGGCTCAACGGCTTTGGATTGCGGTTTCGACTCGTATTGGGCTTGAAGCCAAGCGACTCGGAAACCAAAACCTGTCGAATAATCAACCTTCGTACTTTTTTTTACTTTTTAATTGTTTATATACTTTTGGAGATTCTAAGAGACACTAATAATTTTATTGGGGTAATATTTTAGACGTCGGTTGTGCTTGCTTTCCCCTATTTATTAAAAAAATGTTTAATATTTATAGAATGCTTAATTTTTTGCGTTTGTTTATGTATTACATATAGATAAAAATAGATTTAAAATGTCTGATAGTAATATCTAAAAAAAGACTTTATTTTACTGGACGTTATCGACATGCCATTAGAACATGACTAACCATTTTAACCCGCTAGCTCAGAAAGAACAGCAAACAGGTTAAAACATTTGACCGGTGTCTGTCTGTCTAGGCTAATCACCGGACAAGATTGTGATAAAACTTCACGAACAGATGGAGAGAACTTGAACAAAACTTTCTTGGTTTGCAATTTTATACAAAAAGTCCTCACAGTATCTTCTAGTTATTTTAACTTTGCTCGAATGTTACATAACATTTGTTTCTTTAACAAAATCTTGCAACGAAACTATCAATGTTAAAAGAAGGCGTAATAAATAATACCTTTTTTAAGTAAAACTAAAGGAGCTTTAATTTTTAGTTTGAAACATTTTACGTAATTTTCGAGTTAATTGCTAAAAACTGGGTTTAAAGTGTTTATCAATAGTTAACATATTTGTATAAAGACCACTATTATAAATCTACAGGTTTGTTTTTTGTTTAAATTCTACGCGGAAGAAGCAGCTAGTAAAAGGTATTCTGTAATATAAAAGTTAACTTTATTATTCTATAAAAGCACAAAGAACACATGGTGAAAATAAAATGACGTAAACTGAAAAGCGGTCGAAATATAAAAAAAAATAATACGTGGGTGAAAGTCGTCGAATTTCGCCCATAGCGCTCAGATGAAAGAATATAAAATTAAAGATCGTTTAAGATGTGGTTGGCGCCATGGCGGCGCCACCGACGCTTTTAGCAACGAGCTCGCTACCGACCGTCCGATCAGTTATTGCTGGAAAGTATGGCTGTTTGATATCTACGAGTTGGCACACTACGGAGACTTTAGTACTACGCTATTAAAGATATTCGAAACTTATCTAAAAGTTTGGAACTTTGTGTATGTTGGAGAGGAAACATTTTACAACTTTTAGTATTTGTGTTTGTGTCGCTTTTACTTTGCACAGTATTTTATTGAATAAGAGTAACAAACGAGCACACAATCTACCTGATAGTAAGTGGTTACTGTGGTCCAGAGACATTTACATCGTCCCTCGACTAAGAATCAAAATATAGACGCGTAGTCACTCCTGAGGACTAAAATGGAATGCCCCGTTTCCATTAAAAAGAGTTTTCTGTTCTCTGCACATTCATCATACGCGACATCAAGCTGCCATCCACGCTGGTAATTTGTGAGAGCTTGGACCTTTTTCGGTTGACGCGACCCATTAGTACAACTGTAATATTATAGCTGCACCGTAGCTCTACCATGTATAAAATATATTTATTATTCTTAGTTTAATGATATAATTTTAAATTTAATCAACTTTATGTTTTGAAGTTAATTATTTTGAAGTTAATAAGTCCCAATTGAAAATAGGTAATATTTACTCATATTTGATACTATGTAAATATCATTTCAGGCTGTTTTCAGACAAATCTTGTTGTGGTGGTTTTACTTCTTAAACTCCTTGTTGTTGTTGAGAGATGTTAACGCATTTATTTCCGTACAATGTTTCATAAGACCTTATTTTATTACCTTTGTATCAATTTGAAATATATATTTTAGTAAAACAACATTAACACAATACATTTTACGGAATCCGTAATCAAATATTGATACAGATGGAATCCTACCTTCGCCTTAATGCATCCGAAGTGTTTGTTTGGGTTTCAATTGATGGAGTTGCGCGTTGAATACGTTCATGTCTAGTATAAACAATGTCTCATCGCGTATTGTGTGATATGTCCATATGACATTATTTATAGTTATAATATGTATACGCCAAAGTAAAAGGCACCAATGAAATTGTTGATTGCAATTTCAAGTGGTGATTTATCCCATGCTTCGTGGGTAAAGGGAAACATCACGAGGAAATCTGAATTTCTGAAAAATAAAATATTTGACGTGTGAAGTTCGCCAACACCTATCGGAGCAGCGCGGAGGAATTATTGCTCTATAATCCTCGTAGATAATTGGGTGCCTGTGTCCAGCAGTTGGACATTTATATGTGTAATTTTAACTGTATATACTTAAATGCTTAAGCACATGTGGGCAAATCGGCGCCGTATGAAAGTAGCGTGTCTAGCAAACTAGTTAAATTATTATCGCACTCTATCGCAAATATAACCCACTGAGCGAACTACCTGCCAGATTTTGGGTCATCAAAGCCATTATTGTTTCGAACCCTAAAATTTGATAAAAGGTGTGAGTAAAAAGTACGAGGCAATTCTTTTATTATAGGTAAAATATTGATTTAAGTGTTAAGGATTATTAGGATTGTGTGTAAGACATTCTACCACCCCATGCCATTCCTTGGGTATCGTGAGAGGCGACAGAGAGAGATGAACAGGATGTGTGCAGCAGCATCTTCGTGATAACAACTCAAAATAGTAACAAGGTGCAGTTACCAACCCGCATTACAAGCGTGGCAACTGTGGCAAATATTCCCATGAGGTAATTGATGGGAAAGCCTATGTGTCAGTAGAGTGTTCCAACTGAATTTTGAATTGTAATGAATTATAAGTGTAAATATCAAATTAAATACAACATACATCTAGGGAACCGCACGCTCGTTTGCCTATATTCTATAAAAATCTCATGTAATTACATTTCATTTAAATATTATAGTTATATATAATGTATAGTATAAATAATGTCTTTATAATCGTGTCACAGGGTCATAGTTTGCCCTGACTTAAGAAAAGTAAAGTTTAAGTCTTCTACACAGATCTCTTAATTCTTAGTGTTTTGAGGCAGGGGTGTGACGCGCTGTCCTAATGTGTGTTCATGGATCACATCACGTGCTCGAAGTTTTTATTTATCGCATATTACGATTTCTCGGTTATGATTATCCCACTATGTTTTCCTTCACCGCATTCTATATACTAACCTATAATTTGGCATAATATGTAGTTTTCCAAATTCTATGTAGAAAAGTAACAATTTGTCATTTCAAAAAGGTCATCATTCTTTCTTCTTGTATAATAATTTACGGGAGTAAATACATACATTTTAAACTTCAGCCTCCACAGCATGAATTACGAACAAGTTCGTTTGTAGTTGAATCTCTCGTGAGCACGCAAACGTCCGTAAAGGCAAGTTATTGTCTATTAGATGGTTATTTAAGGGGAGGTGTTAGCATGACTAGCGGTTGTAAATCGGATTATTAATTGCGGATTGTGTGATCCGTACTTTATAAGTCCATTTCCTGCAGTACATATGTGCGTGTGAGGTAACGAGCTATTGACATTAATGGTTTTATTACAGACACGCACATAAACAGGTATATGAGGGGTAATCACAAGATTATTGGAAATTTGATTAACATTGACTCATTAGTATGTGAAATCACTAGGTAAAGTCGAAGGTCGGAAGACGGAAGGAAATTTATGAACGCACTTCTGAGTCCCGCTGTAAAAGTCCCGCATTTAAAAAGCCGTGTAGTGGTCCACATAATCCCGTAGATGTCATTGGAGACGATTTTAGGAAAGACCAGAAAGACTTCATGACCTTCGATAGTAGTATCATCATCATCTTCATTCCAGTCACCCAAGAAATGCCACAAAGCACGGTCCTGAGCCACCTGCATCCATCGACTTCCTGCATGTCTTACCAGGAGGTCTCTCCATTTAGTGGGGGGTCGCCCTGCGCCCTACACTATGCCTACCGCTACGATGTTGCCACTCGAGAACAATTTCCCCCCATTGGTTGTCGGTTCTTCGAGCTATATTGCCGGCACATTGCCACTTTAACTTGTACAATTACTACTATATATACTATACTTTGATAGTAGTAGGTATACCATCTCGTATAAATACTGGAGATAAAATAGCTCAACCGGCGACGAAAGCACCGTCAAATGTGTTGTACACATAGAAACATAAATAATGTTTAAATTTCTGTGGTTGTACATTTGATACTGCAATAGCTAATCCGCTTGCCAAGCGTAGCGATTAATGCAAATCTTTTCCATAATGGAAGAGTCGCATGCTCGACAGTGGACTGGCAAAATTAATGGAAGAAGACTTCTAAATCAACATTGCATAGGTTTCTTTATCTTTTTTTAGTCTTTATAAACGTGAGTGTTTGTATTGTTTAGGTTTTTTAGCTTCTGTATTGAACGTTCTTTTTAAAGATTATTTTTGTATTGTTCGCAGGCGTGACAATGAGAGAAAAAAGGGGAGGTGCTATGAGCAAAATGCAAAAGCTTAGAAAGCGCCTGTCCCTTAGCTTCGGTAGATTATGTGAGTATTTTTGCACTGACTATGGATGTGAAAAAAAGGTTTTTTCAGCGCGGTTGTCAATATCTTGCCAGCATTGTATTAGTCTTGGATAAGAAGACATCTGTTTTTGATAGATGGATATCCTTAAATTTAATTATGGGTTTACTTACAATTGTGTAACACAATATTAATTTAAATAAATAGCATTTTTTAAAGTTTTCTCCATATTTAAGTACTAAGTAGAAAATTCGTGGCTGAATGGTACTGTTGCACATTCACACGCAGTCTATGCAATTCGTTATGCACTTTAATTGATTCCCTTGTTATTAGTGTTCAGAGCCTCGTCTGTTACATTACTTATTTTACAATTCGCTTTATTAATTTTATAAATTGTTAATAAACAATTATGCGATTCAATAAAATAAAAACAGTAATTAAAATATTTAAATACGTTTTTTTACAATTGGATTTAGGTAGGTATGCGTGTTATATTATAAATCTAAGGATTGCATAAATCTTTATTTTAATATAAATTTAGCAAAGCGTCATTTGTTAAATCAAAAAGTGTTTTAATTACCACTTCAGAAATAATATGCAATTAAAACGTGTATTGAAAGCATTTGTTTGCTTGTGTTGTTAGCTCCTTACCGAAATAGCAATATAAACAAATGCACGAATCAAAAATAAACATGATATTTTCGTAGCACACCCGAAATAGCACGTGAAATGGGCGTTGTAATTAAATTTACAATACATGTGAAATCGTGTAAGCAAAAGTTCTTAATTTGTTTGTGTTACGTTCATGGTTTTATAAGCAATCGTGTCGAGTACACAGTCCACCTGATGGTAAGTACATCCGTAAATTATTGCTAATAGCAAGGCGCCAATATTATGTTGCCAATTTTACATTACGTTCTAATTACGTTAAGCTAAATCATTTGCAACAACGGGGCTCCCATCCAAGGTGTCCATTTTTCAAAGCAGAAAAAACTCGCCCAAAAATATTTTTCACTGAAACCGTGTACAATCGCCCAGGAAAGGCTTTTTTCAACGGCTGGGAACATCCAGACTGAAAAAAGAAATCTCCTAATACCAGAAAATCTACAAACTATGTTTTTTATTTTTTTATATGATTATGAAAGAAGTTGTAGGTGGTCACCATTAATCTTACAGAAGTTAAAGAAAGCCTCTGTTCAACAGTTTGATGTATGTAGGCTGTCTTACATATTTTACTTAATAGAGTGAAAGCTTTTTTGTGGTCTTTGAGTAATTAGTTCCGCTGAGCTTACTTTTTGAACAGTTTGCCGGGGCATACCAATATTTTATGTTTTTCTGTGGGTTTTTAAAGGTAATTTTAATATGTAGGTAGGGAGTAGGGACTGCCGAGGAATGGCAACGTCACAGCTTAAAGACCTTACAGTTGGGAAACGAATGTAGGTACTTGTGCAGAGCAAAGGTGGGGGCCTTGCGGGGCAGGGGGCGGCGCGATTTTGTTCCCACGCACTGCATGCACTAAGTCTGCTGTACAATATTGGCGTGAGCGTGTTTAATATCACTTATTTAACTAATTAGTGCCGTTTTCGAAAAATATAATATATATTATGGTGAATTACGCTTATAGTTATATGAGTTATAAATTCTAATGAAGGCCAATGCTTATGTTTCCCTCATTTTGTTTTGATACAATTGGTTATCCGAATGCGAATACACTACACAATTAAATTTAACAAACGAAAACTGAAAACAAAATAAAAAGAAAGTCTCATGATCATTGGGACAGTGCGGCGTACAATTCTTTGCCCTAAAGGTACAATTCCGTTGCCGACTGCAGACAGCAGCAGCAGGCGACGTGTCGTCGCGACACAACTAGTTTCTATGTAGTTCTATGAAATATGTTCCGTAACTATCGACACGTTGTTTGCCTAGCGGCAGACGACACTGTAGCCCAACTGTAGCTCGAGCGACACGTTGAATTTTTCTTAAAAAATGCGTTTTACCGATTCCAAGGAATAGAAACTGATTAACCAGGTGGCCCAATATCCCGCACTGTACGTTCCCTCACTTCCTCTGCATTTCAACATAGGACGTGTGTCTTTTCTCTTTATACTTGTATAATAAAAGCAAGTGATCATCATCTTCTTCCTCTGCTAACAAAATATACAAAAATAAATCGCGATCGCTAATTTCAAACACGTCAGACATGTCCCACGGAACACTCGCAACAGACTGAACACCGGCTGCTGCCGCCTGCAGTCGGGTTCGGAATCATAACTGCAGCGACATGACGCAGCGACATGTCTGCTGCTGCCGCCTGCAGTCGGGTTCGGAATCATAACTGCAGCGACATGACGCAGCGACATGTCTGCTGCTGCCGCCTGCAGTCGGGTTCGGAATCATAACTGCAGCGACATGACGCAGCGACATGTCTGCTGCTGCCGCCTGCAGTCGGGTTCGGAATCATAACTGCAGCGACATGTCTGCTGCTGCCGCCTGCAGTCGGGTTCGGAATCATAACTGCAGCGACATGACGCAGCGACATGTCTGCTGCTGCCGCCTGCAGTCGGGTTCGGAATCATAACTGCAGCGACATGACGCAGCGACATGTCTGCTGCTGCCGCCTGCAGTCGGGTTCGGAATCATAACTGCAGCGACATGACGCAGCGACATGTCTGCTGCTGCCGCCTGCAGTCGGGTTCGGAATCATAACTGCAGCGACATGACGCAGCGACATGTCTGCTGCTGCCGCCTGCAGTCGGGTTCGGAATCATAACTGCAGCGACATGACGCAGCGACATGACGCAGCGACATGTCTGCTGCTGCCGCCTGCAGTCGGGTTCGGAATCATAACTGCAGCGACATGACGCAGCGACATGTCTGCTGCTGCCGCCTGCAGTCGGGTTCGGAATCATAACTGCAGCGACATGACGCAGCGACATGTCTGCTGCTGCCACCTGCAGTCGGGTTCGGAATCATAACTGCAGCGACATGACGCAGCGACATGTCTGCTGCTGCCACCTGCAGTCGGGTTCGGAATCATAACTGCAGCGACATGACGCAGCGACATGTCTGCTCCTGCCGCCTGCAGTCGGGTTCGGAATCATAACTGCAGCGACATGACGCAGTGACATGTCTGCTGCTGCCACCTGCAGTCGGGTTCGGAATCATAACTGCAGCGACATGACGCAGCGACATGTCTGCTGCTGCCACCTGCAGTCGGGTTCGGAATCATAACTGCAGCGACATGACGCAGCGACATGTCTGCTGCTGCCACCTGCAGTCGGGTTCGGAATCATAACTGCAGCGACATGACGCAGCGACATGTCTGCTGCTGCTGCCTGCCGTCGGCTACGGAATTGCACCTAAAGCCCTCTCAGAAGTGAGAAGAGTCCGTATACAGGCTGTATCTTTATTTTATTTTACTTATATTCGAAATGTATGATGATTTATTTAAGTTGTATTTTAAAAATAGTAGCATATTAAGAATCTTCAAGCGTAATTTAATTACGTTAAATATCTTTTAAATGTGATTACTTGAAAGTAAATATTTTTAATACTGAACTTTTTTCTGGTGAAAGTATTATTCAATAAAAACTTTATATTTTATTTTTCTCGTTAATACAATCACAATTTTAGTAGACAATTGCTTTATTAAGACTTCCCTGTTAAGTGGAAATTATAAGAATGAAATGTCCGAGATCCGAAATTCGTGGCATGACATGACTTCTGTGTTCGACATGTTTGCTTGGAATAGGACTTTTGACTCTAGCCACGAAGAGTTTACTGATGATTTTATCGCAATTAATCATGGTTGTAAGATAAAAATCGTCATGTTGATCACTCACGGGCAAAGTCTTCAGTGCATTAACCATTTTCGCTGTTATACCCGCACACCAGCACCACACTGTGTTTGAGATTTTTTTTTCATTGCCAAACAATCTACAACTATTTTTATGGTCTCAGAATAATTGGTCTGGATTTGAATGTTTGTTTTTGTGCAGTTTATGGAAGTAAAATTCCCCCACAATTCAGCAGAAAGTTTAAGCAAAGTACCTATCCATTAAAAAACTTCAGTTATAATTCTGCTATGTTTACAGAGGCTGTTAAAACGTAACGCTTTCAATTTGCTATCAGTACTGCTCTAATGGCCTTAAAATATTCCTTGTTTGGATAAACTTTCTAATGATTCGAACCGTTGCTAAGCATTATTCAAAATCTTGGCTATGTTTTATTCACGTTCCCTTCCACAATCGATGAAGCAATTTTCCTTAAAGGGCCATTTACCTCTTATGACGACAAGTTTTTCTTTGTAGCACTTAAGCTAAGATTTCCAAATAGGTTATTGTTTTGATTTTTTGATGTTGTTTGAATTCTCTTTAAGGGACCGGAGGTTGGTTTCTGACTAAAGTCTGTCCGACGAACGTGAATGAAATTAAATATCTAAATATAACTGTTATGTATAATTGTTATATTATATAATTAAACTTAATCTTTTAAAGTATAAAAAAACTGAATTGTGATTTACTCAGTAGAGTAGTGTTCAAAAGTAGGGTAATACTTATATTGTCTGCTATATACGGTATGTCTGCACCCTCAATTACCTAACTAGTCGTTGGATTATAATAAACATTATTTCAATCAGGAATGATAATAAACTATATTTTTATATGTATGTTACATTTCTATCGCCAAATAGCAGTGCTTGCACTAAATTAGATGAAACATACGTTGTTCATAATGTCAATGTCAAACACATAACTGTCGCTTAGACAAATGAAATCGTTTGTTGACGTTCACACTGGCAATGTCCCCGAGTAAGTACAAATATGCATATTATTACTCTAAGGCCAATGTCAAACACTTAATAGTCTGTGGTCAAACGTTCGCACTAATTAGAGATTGTCGCCAAAGAATTTCATTATTTCAACAAATAAAGAACGAATAAGCTGTGAATTTTGTGTGACTTCGAATGCTGCATGGAAAAATATATTTATTTTATATATTGTATACTAGTAATTTGTGTT